GCGGGAGCTCACCCCACTCCCCGGATTAGAACCACTGAGCTTTCGGTCTGCAAATACAATATAATACAATAGTTATAAACTCACTCACTTACTTACTTACTTACTTACTTACTTAGGCGATCCCTCATTGGTCGAGTAGGATATTCTTCCAGGATCAGTATTCTGATAGATCTGCATAGTTATAAAACGTACAATAGTTATAAAATATACAATAGTTATAAAACATACAATAGTTATAAAGCATTATCCAGATGCTGTTTATGTTTAATCCTGTTTTAATGTTTGCACATTGGTCTATTTTAAATGATAGGCTAATGCTTTTATACTAAGCTGCTTTGAGTCTTCTTCAGGGGAGATTAATAAATATAATAATAATAATAATAATAATAATAAATAAATGCAGAAAACAATACAAGTAAAACTAAATACACCGAACAATACAAGATAAGGAAATAATATTAAATTAAAACTCTGAAAACTGTATAAAGCAAAACAATATTAAAGTAAAACTCTGAAAACAAGAAAGTGTTCTATTGGGATATAAATAAATTTAGTAATAATAATAAATGCAGAAAACAATACAAGTAAAACCAAATACACCAAACCATACAAGATAAGAAAACAATATTAAATTAAAACTGAAAACTGTATAAAACAAGGAAGTGTTCTATTGGGATTTAAAACTGACCATGTTATACTTTTTTTGGCAATATTAGTACTACTAAGATAGTACTAATATTGCAATGACAAATTGCAAAGGAAGGGCAACATATAGAATGTGTATTTATTTCTCTTTCCTCACTCAGCCACCCTTTTTTTCATGTCAGGAGTGACTTGAGAAACTGCAAGTCACTTCTGGTGCGAGAGAATTGGCTGTCTACGAGGACATTGTCCAGGGGACGCCCGGATGTTTTGATGTTTTACTATCCTTGTGGGAGCCTTCGCTCATGTCATCGCACAGGGATCTGGAGCTGACAGAGGGAGCTCACCCGCGCTTTTCCCGGATTTGAACCTCTGACCTGTCGGTCTTCAGTCCTGCTGGCACAAGGGTTTAACCCATTGCACCACGCTTTGCGATGATCAGATAACAGAAAGTGCCTTGGGGAAAGGCGGTTAACCGTCTTTGGGCCAAATTAGACTTTTGCATTTATTGCAGATGGTTTTTCCTGAAATGCAGTAAGGAAGGCTGATAAGATTGCAGTCAGTGGAGGGGAACGTAATTAACCCTTTCTCACCTACTATTGGTGTCCTTTCAAAAGGAATCTTCCTCAAGCTGCTATCTTTATTGGTTCTATGAGGGTTGAATGAAAAATAATGCCTCCTCCTTCGTAACTCCTCAACAGATGGCAGTCATGCCGGCCACATGACCTTGGAGGTGTCTATGGACAACGCCGGCTCTTCGGATTAGAAATGGAGATTTATTTATTTATTTATTTATTTACTACGCTTATATACCGCGATTCTCAGCCTACTGGCGACTCATTGCGGTGTACAACATAGACAAAAGGTGCAAAATACAACATCAAATAAAATAATCCACAGTACATAATTATCAACATCATCAAAACATCAACCTTACTACAAGATCATTCCGAGTCGTCTCATCGTCCAATTCACAATCCGATACCATTTCCGTTGTTCCATTCCTATGGTCAAGTTACCAGTCATTGCACTTCTATTCAAAAGCCTTCTTAAACAACCAGGTCTTCAGCTTCCTGCGGACGATCAACAGGGAGGGGGCTAACCTGATGTCTACGGGAAGGGTGTTCCACAGCCGAGGAGCCACCACCGAGAAGGCCCTATCATCCCCGCCAGCCGTGCCTGAGATGCAGGCGGGATCGAGAGCAGGGCCTCCCCGGAAGATCTCAAAGTCCTCGTGGGCTCATAGGCCGAGAGGCAGTTAGTTAGGTATCTTGGGCCGGAACCGTTTGATGAGCACCAACCCTCAGAGTCAGACATGACTGGACTTAATGTCAGGGGACAACCTTTACCTAACATTCTCTACAGCCTTAACCTTGTTTGTATTGTGATGGTTTGTATAGGGTATCTTGGGATACTCCTGGTTTTCTTTTTCTTTTGTGCACATTTCATACAAACAAAGGTTATAGGCACAGTATGAAGGAGGGAACGATGCTAACATAACCGTTGTGATGTTATTTGGTATGCGTAGTCAGAGTGGCAATGGTGTATTGTGCATATAGTAGTGCACTTACATATGCATTGAACTATTACAGTGAGAGCTTTCCGTTCTGCAAAGTCTGTGTTTGTACATACGTCTGAATTTGTAGTTGCCTGGAAGATGCATCCTTGTCGTCGTGCGATGTGGGTGTGTTGCACGGGGAAATGGTTGTTCTGCTGTATGCGTGACTTCGTAGTTGCGTGCTTGTTGTGACATGCGGCCGTACCTGAAGGCTAGCTGGGGTTTTAATGGCACATTGCGTAGTAGAGATAGATACCAATGCCATGATGGTTGTTGGGAGCATGAGAAAAATGCATGAGAAAGAGGTGGGATAGGGGCACTGGAGGGCAAATGTGTCCCCATAGGCCACCATAATTGAACAAGAGCTTACAGAGAAACATTTAGGAGTATCTCCAAACTGGGCAGACCACACTGCTACCATTTTGGATGACTGGAAATGATGTGTTGTCACTACTTGTTGCTTTGTGGAGAGACATTTCTGGAACCTTTTGGCTGTTTTTGGTGTCTCCAATAACCTAAACTATGCCTGGGAAATTTCAGATGAAAGATTTGGGGGAAGCAATGGTTGCATGGAATCTTCTCCTCAAAAGTTACTTGCCAACTGTGAGTTCTCATCTCTAGCTTATATTTTCAAGACAAACAGAAATGAGAAAAAGCCAAAATGTTTAGAACAATGGTTCCCAACCTATGGGTTCCCAGATATTTTGGCCTTCAACTTCCAAAAATCCTAACAACTAGTAAACTGGCTGGGATTTCTGGGAGTTGTAAGCCCAAACACCTGGGGACCCACAGGTTGAGACCACTGGTTCAGAAGAACCTGAGAAGCTTTATCCTCTGCAATCCTCTTCCTCTTAATAAAAAGATACTATGTGCTAATTGCCTTAAAGACCAATTGGTGATTCCAGCCTCCATCATAAAACTTGGGTGAAGATTATGGAGGTCTTTTGTCCAGTTTGAGGAGAAAACGTGAGGTTGTTGTAAGTTTTTCAAGCTGTATGGACATGTTCCAGAAGCATTCTCTCCTGATATTGCACCTGGATTTGTGAGGTCTCACACCCTCTGAGGATGCCTGCCATAGATGCAGATGAAAGGTCAGGAGAGAATGCTTCTGGAACATGGCCATAAAGCCCGAAAAACCTACAACAACCTAGTGTTTCCAGCCATGAAAGCCTTCGACAATACATCGAAGACTTGAGTGTTGGATCCTGTGTCCTCTTTGAGGAATAAAGGACATGTCTTGTTGATCTTTTCCAGTCAGAACAAATGGACATGGTGGCAACCATCTCTTTGGAAAGGATAATACAACCAGCATCATCTAAGAAGGACATTCCATGTGGATGCTGAATGGGGTTGGGGAAAAGAGACTATGGGCACCAGCTAGTAGGAGGATTAGGTCTGCTAGGGCTCCCCATTCCCCCTGAAAATCACCAAAATCCCACTCATAAATTTGAGGAATAATAGATGGTGAGAAGACTGTAGTTGCACATGAGTTGTAGGCAACAGAGCACACAAAGAGTTCAACTGTGAATCCTGGCATGCTTAGATATATCGGATAGGAAACCCGTCAACCCAGTTCTGGGGTTCTTTTACACCACACTACTCTAGTGCTGTGGTTCCACTTTAACCGCCATGGCAACGTTATATGGACTCATGGAATTTGTAGTTTGGGTTATGGTTTTTGGTCTTCCATAGTACCTCACCAAACAGTCCTAGGATTCCATATGATGGTGTCGTGTCAGTTCAAAGTGGAATCATAGCCACAGAACTATAGTGTGAAAGGGAACCCTGGAGTGGACCAAAGTATGAGAAACTCAACTAATGTAGGGCTGAAATGAAGCAAATGAGTAAAATGCTAATGGATAGTCGCAATCTAACCATCCGGCCTAAGTAGGGTTACCAGGATGGAAACTAGAGAGGGTCCAAGTACCTGTGTAGAAGGGGGCATGTTCAGAAGCTGTTGCTTGCATTGAAGCCAGATCACAAGTTACACCTGCTGAAATTCCCTCCTCTGTGAAACTATTAGAGATACAAAAGCCCTCCCCAGTTTCCACTCTGACAACCATATGACTGGGTTGTAAGTTTTCTGGACTGTATGGCCATGTTCCAGAAGCTTTCTTTCCTGACGTTTCACCTGCATATGTGGCAGGCATCCTCAGAGATTGTGAGGACCTCACAAGCTCTGAGGATGCCTGCCATAGATGCAGGCAAAACATCAGAAGAGAATGCTTTTGGAACATGGCCATACAGCAGTGGTTCTCAACCTGGGTTCCCCAGATGTCTTTGGCCTACAATTCCCAAAAATCCTAACAGCTGGTAAACTGGCTGAGATTTCAGGGAGTTGTAGGCCAAAAACATCTGGGGACCCAAGGTTGAGAAGCACTGCCACACAGCCTAAAAAACTTACAACAACCTAGTGATTCTGGCCATGAAAGTCTTTGACAGTACACTAAACCATATGACTTGTTTACTCATGTTCTTCATTCTTCTACTCTGGTGCCACTTTGCTTCTCTAGAGCTGCATCTGCACTCCAATTAATATAGTTTGGCACCACTGGAACAGCCATGGTTCAGTGCTATGCAATTATGGAAGTTGTAGTTCTATCTTTCTTTGCCAAGGATATATGGGACTATAAATCCCATATCAATGAACCATGGCCATTCAAAGTGGTGTCAAACTGCAATAATTTGGTAGCGTAAATGCAACATAGGGCTGAGGAATTAGCCACGTGCAAGCACCTGAGAAATGCTTCTTTTACTCATTTGTTTTTCTTTCTTTCCCTTTCTCCTCCTCCTCTTCCAGTGCCACTGACTCGTGCCTCAACTTCCAGACCTTGCCATGGCCAAACTAGAGGCCCTCTCTGTCCTTAGTGACCCCAGCTACCGCGGCCAGGAAGCGTTCCGCCCCTTCGAGCCCAGGCTCTCCGAATCCGCCTCCCAAAGCAGCATGGGAAGCGTGGGCAGCGGCGTCGCCAGCGAGCAAGAGTTTGCCATGAAGAGCGTAGGGACCAGGACTCAGAATGGCGGGCGACAGGTGGACGGGTCCCGGAACAGCTTCGTTCCGCGGGAGATCTCCAACCGCTACTCCGGGGAGGAGAAGACCTACAAGTCGGAGAAGATCTACATCAACGGGGACCTGCGCAAGAGCGAGAAAGTGAAGGCGGATCTCTGCGGGAACGTGGCAGCCAACAACGAGAAGAACATCCCACCTCCTCCGCAGTACAGAGAGCCCAATAACCCACCAAAGATATTGCCAATCTCTGGGAAACTAGACCAGGTGAGGTGCCGTTGATCTCCCCAAAAAGAAAGGGGATTCTCCTGTCTTGGTTAGTGAACGTCCCACCAAATTTGTGTTGCAGTTGTGCAACAATGAAGGAAGGATAAAGGACATGGTGTTGGCCCCATTTCCCTCTCCTTGACACAAAGCTGGTGTTTATTTTTGCATTTGTTTATTTCAGAACACCTTTATATTGCATTTCAATTCTAGGAAAGCTAGCAGTAAGTCCTGATACTATGAAGCTAAACATAATAATAATAACACTATGTAACAAAATCTGAAACATTTTCTGTCTCTGTTTTGAAAGTCTTATTTCCTGTTTAATTGTTTGGTAGTTACTTTGAAAGTAGTTGTTATATTCCAGAAACGTTGTTTTTGTGACACAAACTATGTTGAATTTTCGTCCCAGAGGACCCAGCAAGCATTGCAGCTTCAGATCTTGAAGTTGCAGCAAGAGAGGATTTTTTTGTGGTTTCCACAAACTATGTTGAATTGGTTGAGACTCCATAAGATATACACTGAAAAACTATAGTAAAATGTGTTTTTTCCATGTTTCTATAATAGAACCAATTTGGAAATGGCATTTATAACCAAGGAACAAAAATCATGTTATGTAGTGAAATAGAAGCGTAGAAACCCACATCCATCTTGTCCAATCCCATTGTGTCACAGAGCAGCATTTCTCAACCTGGGGGTCGGAACCACTGGGGGGGGGAGTCATGAGGGAGGGGTCAAAGGGGTCGCCAAAGACCATCAGAAAACACAGTATTTTCTGTTGGTTGTGGGGTTCTGTGAGGAAAGTTTGACCCAATTCTATTGTTAGTGGGGTTCTGAATGCTCTTTCATTGTAGGTGAACTATAAATCCCAGCAACTACAACTCCCAAATGCTAAGGTTTATTTTCCCCAAACTCCAGCAGTGTTCACATTTGGGCATATTGAGTATTCATGCCAAGTTTGGTTCAGTTCCATCATTGTTTGAGTCCACAGTGCTCTCTGGATGTAGGTGAACTACAACTCCAAAACTCAAGGTCAATGTCCGCCAAACCCTTCCATCATTTTCTGTTGTTCATGGGAATTCTGTGTGCCAAGTTTGGTTCAATTCCATTGTTGGTGGAGTTCAGAATGTTCTTTGACTGTAAGTGAACTATAAATCCCAGCAACTACAACTCCCAAATGTCAAGGTCTATTTTCCCCAAACTCCAGCGGTGTTCACATTTGGGCATATTGAGTATTCGTGCCAAGTTTGGTCCAGATCCATTATAGTTTGAGTCCATAGTGCTCTCTGTATGTAGGTGAACTACAACTCCAAAACTCAAAGTCAATTCCCATCAAACCCCTCCAGTATTTTTTGTTGTTCATGGGAGATCTGTGTGGGAAGTTTGGCCCAATTCCATCGCTGGTGGAGTTCAGAATGCTCTTTGATTGTAGGTGAACTATAAATCCCAGTAACTACAACTCTCAAATGCCAAGGTCTATTTCCCCCACACTGCATCTGTGTTCATATTTGGGCATATTGAGTATTCGTGCCAAGTTTGGTCGAGATCCATTATAGTTTGAGTCCATAGTGCTCTCCGTATGTAGGTGAACTACAACTCCAAAACTCAAAGTCAATTCCCATCAAACCCTCCCAGTATTTTCTGTTGTTTGTGGGAGTTCTGTGTGCCAAGTTTGGTTCAATTCCATCGTAGGTGGAGTTCAGAATGTTCTTTGATTGTAGGTGAACTATAAATCTCCCAGATGACAAAATCAATCCCCCTCCAATCCCACCAGTATTCAAATTTGGGCGTATTGGGTATTTGGGCCAAATTTGGTCCACAGAATGAAAATACATCCTAAAAATCAGATATTTATATTACAATTCATAACAGTAGCAAAGTTTCAGTTGTAAAGTAGCAACTAAAGTAATTTTATGGTTGAGGAATCACCACAACATGAGGAACTTTGGAAGCTTTTAAACAGAGGCTGGATGGCCATCTGTCAGGGGTGATTTGAATGCAATATTCCTGCTTCTTGGCAGAATGGGGTTGGACTGGATGGCCCATGAGGTCTCTTCCAACTCTAGGATTCTATGATTCTAACTGTATTAAGGGGTTGCAGCATTAGGAAGGTTGAAAACCACTGCCATAGAGGAATACCCACTCAGAGCACTCCTGACAGATGGCCATCCAGCCTTTGATTAGAAAACTCCAGAGAAGGATGCTGAAGATGCCCAGAAGAGCTCATAGAAAACATCTGAATCAAAGCAGCTTGAGAGTACTGTGTAGAGATGGAGAACTATTGCTGCTGTTGCTACTACTACTACTACTACTAATACTACTACTAATACTAATAATAATAATAATACCTGCCTCTTCTTGCAGCCCAAGTGTAGTCATATTTGCTGTGGTTAGGGCACAGGACTCCATGAAAGTGAAAAAACACAAATAGAATCATAGAATGATAAGAATGGAAGAGTTTCCAAGGGCCTTCCTGTCCAACTCCCTGCCATGCAGGAACGCAGAATCAAAAACACCCCTGACAGATGGCCAGCCAGCCTCTGTTTCACTTGCCTTTGTTTAACTTGAGAGAAGGACTTCCAGCATGACTCTATTGACAGAATTTCGCTGAAAGCTGACCATTGAATCGTATTGGAAGACCTAGAGATGTCCTCTCTAGAAATGTCTAGGTCCTCCAGTATGACCAGATGAAGGTGACCATGGAATTACATTGGAGGACCAAGAGATTCCTGAAAAGAACCATTTTAATATACTCTGAATAATCAGATTCATGAAAATCAGAACCACAAATGTGAAGTTCCAATTGTAGCAACCTCAGGTTGGTTCTCGGCTTACTTCAGTAGAAGTTCTTCATAAAGACTAGGTAGTCAAGGAACAGAGAAACTCAGGCCATCAAGGCATTTCCAATTTATGGCACACCCTAAAGCAAATTACACATATGCAAAGTATGTTTATGAATGTATTGTTGAAGGCTTACATGGCTGGAATCACTGGGTTGTAGGTTTTTCGCTGTATGGCCATGTTCTAGAAGCATTCTCTCCTGACGTTTCACCTGCATCTATGGCAAGCATCCTCAGAGATAGTGAGGTCTGTTAGAACTAGGAAAAAAGGGTTTATATATCTGTGGAATGACCAGGGTGGAACAAAAACAAGGACATCTAATCGCCTCTCAACAAAAGTTTGCTCTAGGCACTGTCAGGCCATTATATGCTAATCAAGGTGGTCAGTTGAAACATTCACATCTAGCTCCAGCAGACAAGAGTCCTTTGTCTCACCCTGGTCATTCCACAGATATATAAACCCTTTTTCCTAGTTCCAACAGACCTCACAACCTCTGAGGATGCTTGCCATAGATGCAGGTGAAACATCAGGAGAGAATGCCTCTAGAACATGGCCATATAGCCCGAAAAAACCTACAACAATCCAGGGATACGATGTATTGTCAAAGGCTTTCATGGCTGGAATCACTGGGTTGTTGTAGGTTTTTCCGGGCTATATGGCCATGTTCTAGAAGCATTCTCTCCTGACGTTTCGCCTGCATCTATGGCAAGCATCCTCAGAGGTTGTGAGGTCTGAAACAAATGGATCTTGTTTCATGAGATGGGAACCATAGGAACCAGTACACAAAGAGGCCATATCGCCCGAAAAAACCTACAACAACCCTATGTTTATGAATATATTGTTGAAGGCCTTCGTGGCTGGAATCACTGGGTTGTTGTAGGCTTTTTGGGCTATATGGCCATGTTCTAGAAGCATTCTCTTCTGATGTTTCACCTGCATCTATGGCAGGCATCCTCATAGGTTGTGTGGTCTGGAACCTCTGAGGATGCCTTCCATAGATACAGGTAAAACATCAGGAGAGAATGCTTCTGAAACATGGCCATACAGCAGTGGTTCTCAACCTGTGAGTCCCCAGGTGTTTTGGCCTACAACTCCCAGAAATCCCAGCCAGTTTACCAGCTGTTAGGATTTCTGGGAGTTGAAGGCCAAAACATCAGGAGAACCACTGCCATACAGCCCAAAAACCCTACAACAGTGGTTCTCAACCTGGGGTCCCCAGATGTTTTTGGCCTTCAACTCCCAGAAATCCTAACAGCTGGTAAACTGGCTGGGATTTCTGGGAGTTGTAGGCCAAAAACATCTGGGGACCCCAGGTTGAGAACCACTGCCCTACAACAACCCTATGTTTATGAAGACACAAGTCCCATGCTGAATTCCCTCCACTGCCAACAACAACAATATGTCATTTGTCTATTTTTCTTTCCTTGCAGAGCAACGAGCCCTTAGTTAGACCTTCAGCCTTTAAACCTGTTGTTCCTAAGAACTTCCACTCCATGCAGAATCTGTGCCCACCGCAGAGCAATGGAATATCCGAGAACCGAAAGACCTTGAACCACACCAACAGCAATAGCCCTTCCACTGTCAAAAGCGGCCTGGAGAAGCCCAGCCTTAACAGGACTACCAACCCAGCGGGCGGACTCTCCGATTCGGGCCGCAACTCTTTGACGAGCCTGCCCACGTACGGCACAGGCTACAGCCAGCACGTCGGCCCGATGAGCGCGTCGACCAGCCACATCAACCGCATCGGGACGAGCTATGGGGACAAGAACATTGTGGGATACAATGGGATATCTACCTCAGACAGCGGGCGGTCTTCCAGCAAGAGCACCTCTTCCTTCAGCCGGCTCAACCATCTCAACGAAACGATGCCTTTCCACTCTCCTTCCACGGACGACATCATCCAGGACTTGGAGGACCGGCTGTGGGAGAAGGAGCAGGAGGTCCTCCAGATGAGAAGGAACCTGGACAAGAGCGAGGCGGCCATTTACCAGGTCTTTGAGGAGAAGCAGAAGATCTGGGAGCGGGAGATGGACGACCTCCGGCAGAACTACGCCAACAAACTGCAACAGGTCTCCAAGAAGGCCCAGAGGGCTCAGCAGGCGTTGCAGCTCCAGATCTTCAAGCTCCAGCAAGAGAAGAAGAAGTTGCAAGACGACGTGGCTCAGCTCCTGCAGCAGCGGGAAGAGCTGGAGAAGAAGTTCGTCGCGTTCAAGAAAGAACAGGCTGAGTTTCTTCCCAAAATTGAAGAGACCAAGTGGGAGGTAAGAGACAAATGCCATTGAGATGGAGGATATGAAGTCCTCCAGAGATTTGGAGAACAACTCCTGCAATCCCCTATTATTAGCTTTGCTAGGTTGGGACCCATGGGAGTTGCAATCCAGATCAATCTGGACAGCTGTGTGTTTCCTATCCTAATGGATGATATATAGTAGCTATTCCATTTCTGTGGATGATTGTGCGCTTATTTATTTGTCGTGTCAGGGCAACCAGTCAATTATATTACATTTCTAACAGAACAAAGCAAACAAACGGACAAAATAAAAAAATTGTGAGTTTGGTAGTTGATTAAATGTCCTTTGACCAGTATCTGGCCACTTGGAGTGCCTCTGGTGTTGCCACAAGAAGGTCCTCCATTGTGCATGTAGCAGGGCTCAGGTTGCATTGCAGCAGGTGGTCTGTGGTTTGCTCTTCTCCACACTCGCATGTCGTGGATTCCACTTTGTGGCCCCATTTCTTAAGGTTGGCTCTGCATCTCGTGGTGCCAGAGCGCAGTCTGTTCAGCGCCTTCCAAGTCACCTAGTCTTCTGTGTGCCAAGGAAGGAGTCTCTCATTTGGTATCAGCCATGGATTGAGCTTCCGGGTTTTAGCCTGCCACTTTTGGACGCTCGCTTACTGGGGTGTTTCTGCAAGTATCTCTGTAGATCTTAGAAATTTCTTGATTTAAGGTGTTGAGCAGTCTATGAAAGCCTTGGTTTCCCTCTTTTCCCCTCTTGGTTCATCCTTA